ATATATATATATATATATAAATTTAAAAAACTTAAATTTGTTGCAGTGGGTGGATAACTCAGGATTACAATAAACTGATGTGGCTTTCAACAAATAACGTGAACCATAGTCATAGTTTTATCCAATCAGAGCAGAGTAAGGCGGGTCGTTCTTTCTGAGCTCTGGTGAAGCACCACAGCTCCCAGTCCTCACCGAGCGTCTGGATGTTCACATCCCCTCCTCCCAAACTGAGCTGCTGAACCTCCCAGGACATAATTACATGTCCATGTTTGTAGATATAAATGTAGGGTAAACATTTAATCCACTTTCTTTCATTGATTCTGACTCAACAACTATGTTCAGTTTTTCATTGAATTTATATTAAACCTGTTTATTGGTAACATTCTGTGGTAGAAATAGGTAATTGCGTGATTCTTGAATTTGAAGAAATTGGTACTGAAAAGTCCTTGAAAGTTCCTTGAATTTGATGTTGACCAAGGTGTGGGAACCCTGGATCTGCCAGACACCCCTAATAACCCTTAGTTTATCTGCAAAATTCACTTTTTTAGCTGTTAAATACATTTTGTGGACTTGGAGCCTCTAGAATGCAGAAAAGTTTAATTAAGTCTCTCTTGATGCTGCAAAAATATCTTTATATTCTGTTAGGTTTAGATGTTTCAGCCCGTTCAGTTTGCTCTAGTTTCTGTCATGTTGTTCAAATTATCTGCAAAGGAACTGACCAATAAGGTCTGGACTTACAAAATACAATTTCCTCATCTTAACTCTCCTCTCATCTGAGTCAGACTCTGGCTCCAACATGTAAGGCTGGATGAACTATTTCAATTCAATTGTAAATAAAACGTTTCTATAAGCTAGAAAACATAACCCCCTCTGTCAAACTGGAGTGGACCGGTCTGGAAGCAGGATGGGGGGCGGAGCTTGAAGCGTCTTAAAGGAACAGTATCAAAACCAGCTGCTTTGAGGCATTCAGCAGAAAAGTGGTGAAAGAGGAGCTGGTAAAGTTAGAATAAGAAGGAATTCAGAGCAAAGCTTTGTAGTTTCACTTTATAAAGACCCAACTGAAGGATTTAAATGTGAAAAAGGATTTAAAAGCATCGTATGTCTACATCAAGACTTGAGCCACTCTTGAAGCAGTCTCTGTTCTTATTGTGAATGTGTTCAAAGACTTTTATTGTGAAGGATTTAAAGCAGGAGCTTTAACAAATGCAGATTGAAGTTGAGCTCTTGGCTCATGTAGTAAAAGAAGAGTCGACATCTGGACAGCGTTGGGTATTTTTTTATTATTTGAAAGAACAAACACTTTATAAACTGAATCAATATTCTGATTACAGGTCAGAGAAAAAAAACTGAGACCAGATCTAAACTAACTTTAAACAGTTTAAAACTTAAATGTCAGCACCTCGCCAACAGCTGTGAATAAAGAAAACTCTGCAACAAAGGTTCAGTTCTACAAGTTCACATGTTTTCTATGGTCCTAAAAGCTAAACTTCTACACATAAAACAAAGAAATGCATGACTGACCCGCAGCACACTGTACATGTTGCTCTTCAGACTGATTATGAGTCAGACAGGTGTCAAAGGTCGGGTCAGAGGTCGAGAGCTGTGTAGATGTCTGTTGGTCTGTCAGGTCAGGTGTCATTGTGTCATGGCATCAGTCACCTGGGGAACAAGAAGCTGCAGGGTTACCGACAGGAAACAACCAAACCTGCTCACATCTTCTCACTGACTGGCTTTTTACAATAGGAACAGGAAAACAGTCCACCCTCTATCAGTTCTGGGACAAGACAGGGGGTCTCCAGCTCCCCTCCTCACTCTCTGAGGGGGGGACAAGAAGCCAGACCTGTTCAGTATTTTACTAACTGTCCAGACGTGACCTTTAACCTGCAACTGAGGCCTACAGCGTGAGCTGAAGCTGTGAGGTTTTTATCACTTCTCTGAGATCTGCACAGTCTGACCTCAGGGTGAATTTGGGACGCCCACTCCTGAGATAAAAATAATAATAATCCTTTTCAATGTAGAAAGATGGATTTGTACGACGGCGTAACAAGGCCACTTTGCCGATGAAAAAAGGAGCAAATCTCCAAGAAAAACTCAAATTCTGAGAATAATTTCAGAAATTAACAAGAAAAAAAACTGGAAATTCTCTTATTTTGAAAAGTCGCAAATTCGTGAGAAAAAAACTCAGAAATTTCCTAAATTAAAGGCAGAAATTTACAAGTAAAAAACTTGTAAATTTATGAGAAAAAAACTCTTGAGTTTTCAGGAATGGCTAACCTGTTTGCACTACCAAGAGCTTCTATAATCCGCTCTAGTTTAAAAACTAAAAAAAAAAAAGCAAATTTCTGCCTTTAATTATGGAAATTTCTGAGTTTTTTTCTCGCAAATTTGCGACTTTTCAAAATAAGAGAATTTCCCGTTTTTTTTTTCAAATTTCTGAAATTAATCTCAGAATTTCTGAGTTTTTTTCTCAGAGATTTGCTCCTCCCTTTTTCGTTTTTCATCTGCAACGTGGCCCTAATACGTCGTCGTAGAATTGACCTTTAACCCCAAATTTACGGAGGAGAAATTGTCGAGTTTGTTCAAAAGGTTTAAAAATGGAGACGGTATATTTCTGACTACTGCTTTTAAAAATATCAAATGTAAAATGTGATCATGTTGAAATGAAGCATTTAACCTTCCTCAAGTTTACTGCAGCTGCTTGTCTGAGCTCACTGCTGATGGCTTCCCTCCTGTGTGTGTGTCACACACACAAACACACACACACACGTAGCTGATCTGTAGCAGCAGGGCTGCACAGCTTTGTGTTTCCCTTTAAGGAATAAAGACACGCTGGAATCTGTCCTGTGTTTTGTACAGTTAGATTTAAATAATTATAGAAACTGTCTGAAATCCAGACTGATTTCCTGACACCTAAAACCCAGAACTGATGAAGTGTGGACGTGCTTCTTCCCATCGTTTCAACAGCATTTCTTTATTTGTAGAGCATCTTAGAAGATAAACAACTCATAATGTTTAATAAAATAGTTTTTTCTTCTTTCTGTTTTTCCATTTCATTTATGACTTGTTTTATTTTATAAACTGCAGATTTTCTTTTGATTTTATGAATGAATGAATTTTAACTCTCAGCTCAGCAGGGAGACTGCAGTTCACATGGATTAAAGGTCTTTCAGTGAAGGATTATTGACATGATGTCAACACAAACAAGTTCTTTGTGAGTCTCTACAGCGAGCACTGAGTCTGCACTCTAACAGTCGTGTCTTTAAAGTGACGTCATTAAAACTCTACGTTCTCCATCATTCAGCTAACGGTTCATTTGTTCTCAGTCAGCTCATCTAATCGGATCATTTCTGACAGCAACACGTGCAGAAATGACTCCTCCTGAAAGAATGGCTGCTCTTCTTTTTTAGGTTTTTGTACAAAATACCAGAAAGTAAACAAATGCAACAGTAAAATACTTTGTGTCAGTTCAGGTGATTTTACTTCCTCCTGTGACCTCCAACACTTACCGTTCATGTCCTAGTAGGTACGAGGACGTTTGTGGGATTCCTCTCTGGGAGGGTCAGCCAGCATCACCTTCATCTTCACTCCGTTAATGACCTGACCGTTGAGCACTGCCATGGCCTCGTCAGCACTCTGACACACAGCAGGAGACAACAAGTCACCATGTTTAGACCGTTCCTTTCTCTACGCTCACACACACACTGACCACATGATAACAGGATCAACAACTTTTAAATGAAGGTGCGGACTGCAGCATAAAACACAGGCAACATTTCTGCCTGTCTGTTAGTAAAATGTCTCATCAGATCACAATGAAACATGAATAACTCCTGGCTGTACCTCTACAGATAATTAACTTTCATCTTATTCCAAACAGTCAGTGATTTAAAACAGCACACCTCTAACTCAGTTTATTTTACAAATATTGAGATAAAATTTGAGGCTTTAGCAGCTCAGTTATTCACATGAGATCACACAATAAATTTATTTATTTCACTCTGTCGTTGCTCAAAATCAAATCAGTTTTACACCCTGCCATGAAAGACTGAATGCCTTTACATTAATTTGCATCTTAAAGCAGTAAAATGTTTTGAAACATACCTTTTTGTCAGCGTACTTCATGTATCCAACCTTTCTTCCTGGAACCAGATGAACCTCGATGAGAGTCCCGAAGCGACTGCAGAGACAGGAGAAGCATCTGTCAGATGAAACCTGCTCCAGCTCGGTTTACAACCTCTGAGATGGATATTCTCTGGATATTCATCATAACCATGCTAGCAACTAGCAGGGATCAGCTGGCATTAGCATTGGAGAGGCTAACGACTAGCATGGATATGGTGGCATTAGCATTGGAGAGGCTAGCGACTAGCATGGATAAGCTGGCATTAGTGTCAGAGAGGCTGGCGACTGGCATGGATATGGTGGTGTTAGCATTGGAGAGGCTAGCGACTGGCATGGATAAGCTAGTCTTAGCATCAGAGAAGCTAGCGACTAGCATGGATATGGTGGTGTTAGCATTGGAGAGGCTAGCGACTAGCATGGATATGGTGGTGTTAGCACTGGAGAGGCTAGCGACTAGCATGGATATGGTGGTGTTAGCATTGGAGAGGCTAGCGACTAGCATGGATATGGTTGTGTTAGCATTGGAGAGGCTAGCGACTAGCATGGATATGGTTATGTTAGCTTTGGAGAGGCTAGCGACTAGCATGGATATGGTGGTGTTAGCATTGGAGAGGCTAGCGACTAGCATGGATATGGTTGTGTTAGCTTTGGAGAGGCTAGCGACTAGCATGGATATGGTGGTGTTAGCATTGGAGAGGCTAGCGACTAGCATGCCTAGGCTGCTCATCTACAGTATAAAACACTAACTTTTTGGAATAAAGAAAACTTTCTCAACAAAAATGGTTGACATGTAAAACTTATAAGTTCCATGCACTGACAAGTGTTCCTCAGACTGAATTTACTGTTCAACATGACATCAAGCATAAATATTAAACATAAAACATATTACTGAGAAGAAGACAGCTTTAGTTACCACCTGAGTTAGCAGCTGTGTTTGTCTATTTGTCGACAACTGTGTTTTTTTTTCCTTTAGTCGAATTATGCGAAAAGCCAGAACTATCAAGTTGGGGCTTTTTACAGTTTTTGACAGTGTATTAAATTATCTCTCTATACTGAATTAAAAATTATAACGTCATATACAGATGTTTCTCATAATTTAGCAAAGAAAAATAAACACCGCCATCGAACAATAGACAAGGGCGAATACAGCTGCTAATTCCATTTCTGCTGAGAAAGTTTTCTTTATTTGTTTGTGTCTAAAAAAGTAGGAGACCAGCTTATCCATGCTAGTCACTAGCCTCTTTGACGCTAACACTAGCTTATCCATGCTAGTCACAAGCCTCTCTGATGCTAACACTAGCTTATCCATGCCAGTCACTAGCATCTCTGATGCTAACACTTATCCATGCCAATCACTAGCATCTCTGATGCTAACACTAGCTTATCCATGCTAGTCACTAGCATCTCTGATGCTAACACTTATCCATGCTAGTCACTAGCCTCTCTGATGCTAACACTTGCTTATCCATGCCAATCACTAGCATCTCTGACGCTAACACTAGCTTATCCATGCTAGTCACTAGCATCTCTGATGCTAATACTAGCTTATCCATGCTAGTCACTTGACTCTCCAATGCTAACGCTAGCTTATCCATGCTAGTCACTAACCTCTCTGATGCTAACGCTAGCTTATCCATGCTAGTCACTAGCCTCACTGATGCTAACGCCAGCTTATCCATGCTAGTGACTAGCCTCTTCAATGCAACCACAAAGGAATATTCTCCTTCTCATTTGCGGGTGCCGGCCTATCAATAATCAGATCAATAGCTGGCTTAGGTATGGATAAAGCCTCCTGCTACAAGCGTGTAGCAACCGCTGGTTGCACATTAGTCTTAATTTTGACCCTCATACTGTGCCATACCAAACAACCTGAGTCAGAACTGAGGCGTGGACCTGCTGCTTCTTTTCTTATTACGAGGCTGTTCTGTGAGGAATGTGTTTCTGTGTGTTAACATGATGCTGTTCAGAACGCCTCATTTACCAGAAAATGTCCTCCAGCACGTCGTGGGGCAGAGGGGAGGGGTGGAACACCACAAACAGACGCTCTCTGGAGATGCTGTCCGACGGAGCGAGCTTCTTCAGAGACGGAAGGTTTACGTCCGTCTGGATCCGAGACGGTACCGAGTAGTTCTAGGAGAGACGGGTTGAAGAAGATAATGTTGAGTTTTGAACCCTGTAAAGTGCCAAGGTTAGCTGTACAGGCTAGTTCTGACATGCAGGCCCTGGCAGGTTGACACATCAAAGAGAAACAAGAAATGACACGACTCAGAGCAGCAGGAGGCTGCAGATGTTCCAGCAGAAGATCAAGTCAAACACAACTTATAAAAACTTTTTAAGAAGTCGTGGAAGGAGACAGCAAATAAAACTGTAATAATCAACGCACACTGGACATTTGACCATAATTAAAACAACAAATGTGATATGAATAACCCGTAAAGCTGTAAGCAGAGTGTGTCGCTGGTTTGATGTAAATTCATGTAAACTCACAGGTTTCGCCATGCCGGAGGCTCCGTTCCACGCTGAGGTCATGATCTGAGTCTGAACAAACATCTTCGACATGAGACTGACAGAACTGCACAAACAAAACAAAACTATGTTTTAGAGCTTAGTTAAACCTTCAGCCAGCAGGTAACGCAAACCTAAATATCAACAAATGGTTTTCATTTACACAACTGAAAAACCTTCTGGAAATATTAGTTTGTTTTTCTTTTTGTTTCCAGCCATTCTGAGAACACAAAAATAAAAATTAAGCTAACTTGTAGAACTAAAACAAACTATTATGTTACTACAGAGACTAAAATATCCAAATACCTGCACTGGTACAAGTCATTATCAGTGGTAAACCAGTTTGTATTATGAGTGTGAAAATATTTATTTCACGGACTCTAAAAGTACTTGTCAGGAAAAGAGGGAAACATTTTATTTGGAGATTTTTGATATGATTTATTTTTTACTTTCAGTGCATAAATGGGTTTGTACTTGTACAAACAGTGACGTTACACAAACGTAAAATTGTCCAAAAGGATCAAAGTCACGTGTTTTCATATTTATTTATTTTCATATAATAAATATGTAAGGAAGGTCAAAATAACTGCTGAAGCACCTTGAAAGTATGGAGTCCCTCAGGGATCAGTTCTGGGCCCTGTTTTGTTTTCACTGTATATGCTGCCTCTTGGACACATTTTTAGAAAGTTTAAGATTTCATTCCATTTTTTTGCAGATGATGTACAGATTTATATGCCTTTAATGGGGAAAAATAAGGATAATTCTTTACAGTCTCTGTTAGACTGTTTAGGTGAAGTGAGATCATGGATGGACTCAAATTTTCTCCATTTGAATGATAACAAAACTCAAGTCATTTTATTTGGACAGAAAAATACTGGAAGTGACCCTGTATCAATCCTTGGATCTTTATCTCCATTTTATCAGACAGCTGTTAAAAATCTTGGTGTTATCTTTGACATCCGTTTGAAACTGGATAAGCAAGTGAATTCAGTTGACAAATCCGACTTTTTCTATTTACGTCAAGATTTTATTATTAGTTTTTAAAGTTTTGAATGGCCTTGCTCCAACCTTTCTACAAGATCTCCTTCATGTTCACTCTTCATCCAGAACATTGAGGTCGAACAACCAGAAGCTTCTTGATGTTCCTAGATCCAGACTTAGGAGCAGAGGTGATCGTGCTTTTGCTGTATCTGCTCCCAATCTATGGAACAACTTTCACTCTACGGCATTTAATTAATATTAGACCTGACATTGTAACTTTTATCTGTTCTTATTATTGTTCGTTGTAATTTATTATGTATTTTAGCAATTTTTGTGTTGTTTATAGACTGCTGCGCAGCACTTTGGTGCAGCCATTGGCTGGTTTTAAAGCACTTTATAAATAAAGTTTGACATTGACATTGATAACTAGTAAGATATAAGTCATCATTTCTTACATATTACTTATTATTCTGTTACTGTTTTTTACAAATACATTCACTTCTTTAATTATGTAACTTATTGTTTGAAGTTTTTGTCTGATTCTGTGGTAAATGTGGAGATGTTTTGATTTAAACTGTGGAAAAATACCCTGATGTATACATTTCTATGTACTCTGATTCATAATGAGTAAAACTCATCAGAAACTTTAAAGACCAACTCTCTGTCATCCTGTCAGTTTGTTGCATAAACTTCACAAGCGGACACATTGGAACGTAAAGCTTAGTTCACATTAGGGGTGTAAGAAAATATCGATACACTGAAATATCGCGATATTTCATTTCCCGATACTGTATCGATATTCTAAAGCCCTGTATCGATTTTTTATTAAGGTTTAAAATGTCAACTTTCCTGCCAGCCGTTCATTTTTATGTTGTAGTTCAACCTCTGACCATTAGTTGGCAGCAGTGAGCCGACTGGCTCACTGCTGCCAACTA